TTGTGGCCCCAAAATTTTTGTGTTCTCTTCATTGGTGCACTGTCTTATTTGTGTTTACCTTTCTGTGGCTTGTGAGAACACATTATGCATAATAATAGCTAGAAGCATATGCTACTTATTAACCATACTGGTTTAATATTTCATCAAAGTCCATAAAATATAGAGTCATATGTTTTCCCAACTGGAACACTTAAGGATACAGGGACACTTTAATAATTATATGCAGCAGCAGGTATAATCCAGGACTGTCCCAGGTTTTGAAGGATAATTTTAAAAATTAGGTAATGGAGATTTAATGCACAGCACAGGGTTTATAGACACTGATCCTGTATGATAAGGCTTTCCAGATGGCTCGGTAAAGTGTCTGCTGCAATGCAGGAGACCCAGGTTCGATCCCTGGGTCGGCAGGATCCCCTGGAGAAGGAAATGGCAACCCACTCCAGTACTCTTGCCTGGAAAATTCCATGGATGGAGAGCCTGGTAGTCTATAGTCCATGGGGTCGCAAAAAGTCAGACATGACTGAGCGACTTCGCTTTCACTGTATGATAAACTTGAAAGTTGCTGAGACTAGACTTTAAATGTTCTTACCACAAAAAAAGGAAATGATGATTGTGTGATGTGATAATGGTGTTAGATAATGCTATAGTGGTAATCTTATTCCAGTATTCAAATATATCAAACCAACATGCTGTATACCTTAAACTTACAAAGTGTTGTTTGTCCGTTATGTCATGGTCCAGGTGTGGGTTGGAGAAGAATTTCCAGACATGAGACAGAATGAGAGGGAAATAAAGTTTATTAGAATGGGAGATGCTGTTAGAACAGCGGGCCAGCTCAAGGGAGAACCGACATTGAGTGGGGGTCCTTAATCTACCTTTATTCCCAGGGTACAAGGAATGGGATAGGGGTCTTGTAGGTCATTTGCTGATTGGATGAGGCATGTGTACTGGGTGAGGGAAGAGTGAGACAAATACCGTCTCCCTATGGGGCAGGAGGGGAGACAGGTTATGCTGCTCAGGAAGACCTGAAATCCATTAGTAGTTACAACATGGGGGGAGGCGATAAGGGTCTGGTTTTTCCATTCTTGCTTTCCAAGAACCTCCTTGATTTTATCTGCTCTTTCATTCTTGAGTCATCACAAATTGCATCTCAATTAAAAACATTAAAAATTTTAAAATTTAAATATATAAAAAAATTTAAACTGTGGAAAATCTTGACTTGTACAAATATAAAAAGAGCATTCACTAAATAATAAGGGAATGGATAAAAAGTTCTAGCAGGTTCCAAGGAGAATACTAAATATTAGTCTTTATAGTTAAGTAAGGCATGCTGAAATGAACTAACAATGGATGCAAAGCTGACAAACTGGTCAGTATCCATCAGAACAATAATCAGTTGCATTCAAGTGGACACAATTTGCATTTCTGTGGGCAAAAAATCATTTGCATTACTATCGGTTTTCTTCATTTTGTAGAGTTTAAAATAGCTTAAAGATAATCGCAGCCACACAGGTGTATAACTCACTAATTTCTGACCCACATCAAAGGCCTTCACAGTTTTCCCTGATGTGAGCAGGCTAGGCACCTGCTTAGTTATATGTCACATATTCTCGCTGTTTGCATCACATGATCTGAACTTAACTCCTAATTGCTGCTTTGGTGGATTTTTTTTTATTTTTCATTTATTCTTAGACCCTGTGTTGGTTCCCTCTTAAAAAGAGGATTTTTAGTAACAAAATTGGAATTTTATTTTATTGTTTGTCAAGTTGTACAATATTAAGTTCCACTCCTCTTTCATGTTTGAGATTGGCCAGAACCTAAACTGTTGTTATTTTGGGAGGAAAATGCTACTTTTATTCTGTTTTGGTTGCCTCCTCTGGGAGGACTGAGAGCATTTTGGCAGGATGAACTGAGCAATCTGCAGCTGTTCAAATACTTTGAGCCTTTGGATTGATTGTGGATTTTGCTTTAAAACCCTCCCCCCACTTAAAAAAAAGAATGAAAGAAAATCCAACAGTCAATTGCATCTACTACTTTTTTTAAAAAAACTGTTGTTTGGTAAGCTGCAGTTTTACTTTTGTAAGCAGAGGCTGTGTTTATTTTCAGCGTTGGCAGTTCTGCCTAATGAATCAACTGGTATTGAATTCACAAGGGGAGGTGCCGTTTCCCCGCCCTCCATCTGTTTGCCAAATGTGTGTGTTCCCTCAACTCTTAGTGGTGGCTTCACTAAAAAGAGCCATTAGCAGGCGGGTGTTCTCACTGATTTCTCAGTCCTCTGTCTGACTGCTTGCTGGTATTTTTCCCCTGTGGTTCCATAGAGGTTGTTTGCCAAAGCACCACACTTGTGATTCTAGAGAAAGTGTGTGTCTGCTTGTTGTTTAGGTATGAAGTTTGGCTCTGCATTACTCATAGATTTAGTTTGGTTCTTGAGCCTTGGTTTGGTCCTTCACGATGGGGTGTCTGTCTCTAAGCAGTAGTGTTGCCATGGGGATTGAAATTACTCCAAGGAGGAGACAAGAGCTCCAGTGAATCCTAGTAGGCGCTCTTAAAAACTGGGAACCTGTGATGAATTTCTTTGGATCGCACTCTTATTTTCAGCAAATCCTTCTTTAATTCTTTTTCTTCCCTTTTCTTTTAAAATTCTTATGGGTGATAGGGAAGAAGTTGTTTTATTAGCAAAATTTGGAGGTATCTTTTTCATGTTTTACTTTCGTTTGTATTAGGAGTCTTTTAGGTCAGTACTTCTCTTGATTGTGCATATGAATCACTTGAGATTTTGATGAGATGAAGATTCTGATTCAGTCGATTTAGGAATCTGAGTTTTTGCATTTCAATTCAGCACAGGCCATACTATGAACAGTAAAAAAAGCCTCAGGGCACATAACTTTGGTACTTTTTCCATGGCCTTTGGAATAATTTAGATAGTCAAAGAGTAGAATGACTTGGTTGGTGTTTAGTAGCAAAGTATTTGGAGATATTTGCCTTCACATTGGTATCAGGAACCTGGTAGAGGAATCAGACAATTTTCTAACTCTTCCTAAGATAGACATTCACATTGAACATATGTCATTTTGTTTGAGATTTTGAAATTTCTAGGACATTTTACATACACAATTTCAAATCTAAACTTGAAATATTTTTCCGAAGCAAAGTATGAGTTATTTGGGAGTTCTATTACTTGTGTACAAAAGCATTGATTATGTTCTTTTTCCAGTGACATGCCTCACTTCTTGATATATTACTTAGGCTTTAAAAATAATTTCCCTGACATTTGATTGTATGAGTATTTTAATATCACTGTCTCTTGTGTACTGTGTGATTTTACTTAGCCTACTAAACAGTTTTATCAGAACTGAGTGTTATCTAAGAAGTCTTTTGAGTACTATTAAATGTTATTACTCTATGCTGACCTAGATAATGAACAGTAAACTATTTTAAATAAGGCCACTGACCCACTGAAGAGCTGTTCACCACATATATACACAAAGAAGGAACCTAATTTAAGCACTGCATTGATCTGTATTACCCTCACCTTATTCCCCCAAACTTCTAATTAGTTTTGGAAGTTACTGAAAAAGGGAAAGTACAAAAACTTGCTTTTAAAGCAAAGGATAAGGATCATGAGAAAAACTGTTCAATACTTATAAAAAAATATTGGCTAACTGGAGGAGGCTGAAAGAAGAGTATGAAATTAAAATAGCAAAAGAGAAATGCATATGTAAGGAGAGTGAAGAATATAGATGTTCATGAAGAGCGTATCAGGGAAGAGAAACAACTTTTTCTCCACTCTCTTAGGTTCAGTTATTGGAGGCCTGTGAATTAAGGTGACAAAGGACAAATTTGCAGGAGAAAAGAGTTTATTTATGAATGCAATCTGCATACAGTAATGAGTAACTCAAAAAAGTGGTTGGAATTTAAGGCTTATATACCCAATGCAGTAGGGGAAAGAACTGGGTAGAGAAAGGCTCCTATGAGAAGACCCAGCAGGTTTCTTTAGGAAACACAGGTGTTTCTTGAGGAGAACAAACATGAGATAAGAACATCTGTGATAATATTTGTTTGTGCAGGTGTGAGTGTTTTTTTCTGTTTTTTTCATAGCCCTGAAACTCTCTTGGAGAGACTTTCTTGGAGAGCCTTGTTTCCTAGAAGATACTACTTTAAGTCAGATAAAGGAAGCTCTGACAAAGCTTCTTTCTCCATTTGTTGACTCTCAGATGTCTTCAACTTAAGATCATCTTTGTACTAATCTTTGTACTCTAAGGGTGTGAGGTCTGAGTGGATCCCCACAGGGTAAGAGGGCACATATACAGTGAAGAAGGAAAGACGAGGTTAAAGAGGAGGAAGACTCAGTGGATTGTGTGATGCAGATGTTATTCACAGTTCTCCTCATTTCCCTCTTTGGAAATTTGATTAGGACTCCTAAAGTTAAGCGGCTCTTCAGAGCACTTCTGCTCTCAAAGAATTTATTCTAAATGAGAATCTACATCAGCCGGACACAGGTACAGTTATTTTGGAGCCTACACCTGTCTGGCTACATCAAGCCTGAGGCTCCAGGGTCCATGACAGTCACATTTTATACCTAGGTTTTAATCTTCAGTTGCATTTCTTTTTGAAACAGATAAAGCATATTTATACATCTGTACTGCCTGTGTATATATATATAATCTATATATATATAATTGCTCAAACAAAAATCTGATGTCGTTTCATATACTAAGTATTGGGTTGGCCAGAGTGTTCATTCAGGTTTCCATAAGATGTTACAGAAAAACCCAGAAAAACTTTTTGGCCAGAACAATAATAACTGGGCTAAATAATAACTGGAAAAACCCAAACAATGTTTTTGGCCAAAACATTAATAAGCCTGAGTGATCCATCAAGGGGATAATTTTGTATGTATTCTTAAAAATTTGAATAAGAATTTGGTTTGCATATTTTCTGTGTAGCAATTACTATTTTATACAGTCTTTTATTTAAATGTATTATTTTTTTTTTCCTAGTCATCAAACACAGACAACCTGTTGGGATCATCCTAAAATGACCGAACTCTTTCAATCCCTTGGTGAGTGTTGTTTTAGTTAATAGTAATTAATTGACTTCAACAACTTGAGAATTGTATATTCTTAAATGGACTCTAGTCACCAGTTTTCCGTACATGGCATATTATGTTTAAAGGACCATGTCATGGGCATGTAAAAGCAGTTGAATTTCTAAGGGCAATGCAGTAAACAAGTTTTACTTTTCTTAAGAGAACGTATGGTTCACAATAGCATGAATTCAAGAAGGTTGATTTTAAAAGAAGTATAATTGGTTTTACCTCCCTCATATTGTATCATCTTAAGCTTCAGCTTTGTGTGAAAACAAAACAATAGAGTACAGCAGCCTGTAATCCACTGCTTCATATTTACTTTTCGCTCACTGTTTATTTAGTAAATATTATTAAATTAGCTTGTCTAATTTCATTTTGTCTAAGTAGTCATTAAAAGCTAAATTCACTTTAATAAAAGTGCATGAGAACACGTGAGATGAGAATCCTAACATTGTGGATTTCCAGTAGAATATGGCTGTGGGCTGATTATTATTACTGCTTCTCTTAGGTCATTCCAGTGGCTTTGAAAGAGTTTCCTTACAGGGGATCGATCTAAAGTGCTGCTGGAGAAGGGGAGTGGCACCCCAAGGCTCTCATTCACACTGCCATTTCAGCAAGGAGGGGGCACTCTTTTTATCTCTTTATGTATCAGGCTTCTGTGTGAGCTTTCTCTTGAATGAGTGAGGACAGTTGCAAAGGTTGAACAAGCAAGAGACAAACCACTGGATTGTTTTAGTTTGTAAAATGAGCACACCAACGTTAAGAATTAGAGACTAACTCTTCTCATTTCTCTTATGGATACTCTTTATCTTTAGGAGACAAAGAAAGAAATTCCAGTGTCTTTTTTTTCTCAACTTGATGCTAAATCTTTCAGGTTTTTTTTAAATTAAGATAATATATAACATTGCATTAGTTTCAGGTGTACAGCATAATGATTTGATATTTGTATATATTGCGAAATGATCACCATGATAAGTCTAGTTAACATCCATCATCAAACATAGTTACATAATTCTTTTTCTTGTGATGAGAATTATAAGATTTATTCATTTAGCAACTTTTGAATAGGCAATATGGTATTATAAACTGGAGTTAATCTATCATTTCTAAAGACTGAAATATTGATTATTGTATAATTTTAACCAGATTGGTTAAAGGGTGGAAGAAGCAAATAGAGCAGGACAGAAGGAGCACAGACATAAGATATGCTTTCTGAGTAGTGAGACGGACGCCTAGGTGGCAGAAAACCGATTGTCCTTGTGGGGAAATGACCTGGAAGAGAATCCCTCTTAGCGGTAGAGAAGGCAGCCTGTGGTGTGATGTATTTATTAAGTCATGGAAAGTCAACAGGCCATGTTTCCCTTTCCTCATTTCCCTCCTTTTCCTGTTTGAAAATGCTTTTTTGAGATCCATAGAGCATTGCTTTGGAAAGTATCTCACCATGATTCTAGTGAACATTTGATTATTTTCTTGTGAACGCTGTGGATTTTAGGAAAAGACCTTTTCATGTGAAAAGACATAATGATTTTCCATCATTGAAGTGAACAGATACATTCTTGCCATTCAATGTAAGTTAAATAATCCTAAGCACGCTTTTTGAATGTATTCCATTTTCCATTTCAGCTGACCTGAATAACGTACGTTTCTCTGCCTACCGTACAGCCATCAAAATCCGAAGACTCCAAAAAGCACTATGTTGTGAGTTTATTCTGCCAGATTTAATCACTCTGTTGTTTGGATTGCCTTTCTTGTTTTTTTTTTTTTTTTCTTTTAAGACAAAGATAAATGGAGAGGGTGATGTGTGTGTCGAGTTAATCTGATTTTCAGTGTACCTAGCTCAAGGAGTTGGCTGTATTTCTGTGAATGCTCTATTCTCCCCATCAGCAAGCGTGCAGTGGTAAAACAAACGAACATACGCCATTCTCAGTTGGAGAACAAAATTAACCAAAATACAGGAGTCACATAAAAAGCTTTTTCAAAAATTATGCTGCCACCCAATTTAAAAGGATTAAATCAAGGAATTGAAGTAGTAGATCATTGCCTTTTTAGAACTTTGTATTCATCTGTAGGATTCATTTGGAGCATAGGGTTCGGAACAGTTTAATTCAGAGCAATCATATAATAAAGAAATCCTGAAAAATTATATTCCTGATCCAAATTTGAATTGACCATTGTTGTCGTTCAGTCACTAAGTCTTGTCTGACTCTTTGTGGCCCCATTGACTGCAGCACACCAGGCTTCCCTGTCCTTCACCATCCCCCAGAGTTTGCTCAGATTCATGTTCATTGAGTCAGTGATGCTATCTAACAATCTCATCTTCTGACACCCCCTTCTTTTGCCTTCGGTCTTTACCAGCATCAGTGTCTTTTCCAGTAAGTCAGCTCTTCACATCAGGTGGCCAAAGTATTGGAGCTTCAGCTTCAGTCCTTCCCATGAATATTCAGGGTTGATTTCCTTTAGGATTGACTGGTTTGATCTCCTTCTGTCCAAGGGGCTCTCAAGAGTCTTCTCCAGCACCCTAATTCTGTGTGCATTTAGAGCTCTGTGTTCATGTAACACAGTGTCTTGAGACAATTAATATTATCAATATGAACTTTAACCTGTAGAGTGTATGTTCATAATGGTAATCTATGATAGTTTTGGGTTCCCCTTTTAGCTCAGTTGGTAATCTTCCTGCAGTGCAGGAGACCCGGGTTGGGAAGATTCCCTGGAGAAGGAAATGGCAACCCACTCCAGTATCCTTGTCTGGAAAATCTCATGGACAGAGAAGCCTGGTGGGCTGCAATCCATGGGGTCGTGAAGAGGTGGCCACGACTGAGGGACTAACACACACACATGATAGTTTTACTAAAGGATTATTCCTTCTCCCATAACCTAAATTTAAGTATCAATATGAATGCTTTGCAACAGAGTATAGATGCATGCTATCTGGATTCTATCTGTAGCTTCTATTCTTTTGCTTTAATGATTGAGTCTACTCAAAGAACTTTTAGGCCTTATCAGGTAGTTAATATGGAAAGTGCCTTTATGCTTATAACAGCCTAACTTGAATAATTCCAAATATTCTTGTTGCTACCTTTTGTTAACAGTTGTTGTATGTCTAGGCCATTCAGTGAAGCTTTGCAGGTTACCCTTAGAAATGATATATTAAGGTTAAAAATCTGCTAGGTCAGTAAAAATTAAAAGTACAGTTTAAGCTGGTTATGTGAGGAGAGTTGAGGAAAGAGATGTGTAGAACCATTCCAAGATAATACCGCAAGGCAAAGCTTTAGAATAAAAAACACTTAAGCTATGTTTGGGCTTCCCTGGTGGCTCAGCTGGTAAAGAACCCACCTGCCAGTGCAGGATATGCAAGAGATGTCGTTTCAGTCCCTGGGTTGGGAAGATCTCCTGGAGAAGGGAATGACAATGCAGTCCCATGCAGTCCCATGAACAGAGGAGTCTGGCAAGCTATGGGTCATACAGAGTTGGACCCAACTGAGTGACTAATGTGGTGGAAGCTACATGTGGAAAAGCTGTCTGAAGGGCTGAAAAAACCTCCAAGTGAGGGAGTGGACAAGAGGCTGACATGGCTTGGAAGCCCATCATCCTCGGAGCGCCAGAGATGATTGGCAGATTGTAGCGGTCACAGCAAGGATGGCAGAATGACCAGTTCCCAAATAGAAAGCCTGTGCACTCTGGTGATCTGTATGTTCAGCTGGAAGGGAAGAGGAAGTGAATTGGGAGCACGCAGAAGGGATTTCAGGGAGCTCAGTAGGGCCAGGGTACCAGCAGTTTTGAAAGAGGCTCAGCTGCAGGTCTGGCATCCAGCTGACAGACCTGGAAGGACTTCTCAGGCCGGATGAGCTGTTGAATGAGGGCAGATGACTCAGCCACAGTACTGCAGTGGGCAGCCTTTCCCTTCTCCAGGGGATCTTTCCAACCCAGGGATTGAACCCAGGTCTCCCGCATTGCAGGTGGATTCTTTTCCAGCTGAGCCACAAGGGAAGCCCAAGAATACTGGAGTGGGCAGCCTTTCCCTTATCCAGGGGATCTTCCCGACCCAGGAATTGAACCTGCGTCTCCTGCCTTGCAGATGGATTCTTTACCAACTGAGCTATCAGGGAAGCCTCTCCATTGACAGGAGATGGCTTTGTATCACTGTGAACACGGGTCCAGTTTTCAGTAATGCTTGTGGGCAGATAAACAGATTAAACACATTTACTTGTTTTCTTCTGTGGGTTCTCTGAGTCCTAAAAAAAAACAACTCTCTCCTTAAACTCATCCCTTCAAACTGGAGAGGAGCAGAAGAGACATGCCTCCCACCTCTAAACTAAATGACCTTTAGTGGCACTCACTTAGAAACGGGCTGGGTTGTGTTTGCGAATGTTCGAGGTGATGTCCTCAGGGCCCCTGGCCTCCACTTTCTCAGCCCCCATTGAGCTCCTAGTGAGTCCTTGGCACCCCTGGTCCAGCTCACCTGTTTATGATTAATCTGCTCCTTCCTCTCCCATCTTTTCCGTTTACTCGAAATGCCTTGACCCTTCCTCTGCAGTTGTCTGCAACCCTTTATTCCCTTCCAATGCTGTTAAAAATTTACTTCTTTTGGAAACATTTACAAGCTAATCCCACCTGCCTCCAGCTTTTCCAGAACTTTATGATGGCCTGTAACGACTTTCTCTCCCATCGAGCGCCCCTCGCGTGCCTTTGTGTGACAGATAATGTGAGGAGGATTGCGCTGTCTGCATCAGCACCTGCTTTGAATCAACAGTTGTCTCTCTCTGTGTAAATCTCCGCCCATCATAGTGTCCTCACCAAGAGGGCATACTGTCGTTGCTACCATTGTTCTTTCATTTATTGGGCTTCCAGATTGGGCAGGGGATAAAACAGTAGAGACTTTGTTCCCACACTCAAGGAATGTCAATTCAGACACAACCTGCCTGCTTCCAACAGTCTTTGTGCCCTCCGCATGGAACAGCCTTTACCGTGGCCAGTCTCTCCATCCTCCTCATTCATCATGGCCCACGGTGCACTCTTGTAGTTCGAGAGGATGTTGAAAGGGCAAACTCTGTTTTCTGCTCCTCCTGCCTGAAGAGCTCATTCCTTTTCTTTTTAGGTCCTAGTTTAACTGTCATGCATCTCTAAGCAGGCTTTCTTGGCTACTCTACTCTAAATTAGGTCACTCCTGATTTTGCATCTCATAGATTCAGTTCTTTTCTAATGTGACACTTGTTTGTCCTTCAGACTCTCACAGTGTTATATTTTATTTTTGTATATTTTCTTTATAGATTGAGATACTACAGAATGCTTTCTGTTTTGCGTAAGTTAGGAGATAGAGCCACTCGTGGATGTACGTGTTAGGCGATATCTAAGATCAAAGTACCAAGGGAACAGAGGACAAGTAAGAGCTCAGGTGAAAGACGATGAAAGCTGAGCGTTGGAGGGGAGATGAGAACACAGATCTGTGAGCAGGAGGGAGAACTAAGGACTGGGGGATTTGGTACTGGATAGATTGCAGAGAGTGAAAAAGTGTTAGGGTGTCTCGGGAGTTACAGACTAATGATCTATGGATGGTAGTAACAGCCTTGTTCAGTCACTAATTCGTGTCATGTCAAACTCTTTGCAACCCCATGGACTGTAGCACGGCAGACTCCTCTGTCCTCCACTATCTCCCAGAGTTTGCTCAAATTCATGCCCATTAAGTCAGTGTTCCTATCTAACCGTCTCTGGATTTCTATGTCATGAAAAGGCAAGACCATTATTTGCACGTATTAAGGTGGAGATTCCTGGAAGAAGGTAGTATAGCTCTGATTGGGAACAAAGCAGCAGGAATGTGGATCGGATATTCAAGCAGGAGATGAGGAAGAGAATCTCGAGTCTTCCAGAGAGAAATAATAACCGCAGTAATGAACGTGAATGAGAGCATCAGGCTTATAGAGGGAAAGGGCAGACATGAGACCTTGAACACCACTGACATTTCTGAGATGTCTGGGGAAGAGGAGCTGGGAAGGGATAAACATTTCAAGAGGAGGAGAGTCATAGAGGCCCAAGGTCGGATGCTAAACAGTGTGTGTTTTTGCAGAACCGAAGAAAGGTGATCCAGTTCCATTCAACCCCCTCTGCTTCGTTGTGGGTTTAAAGAAAAGCCTTAAAGTTGGTAGAAAATGATTCTTCTGTTTATTTCATTTGCTGCATGACTGAGCCGTCATTTGTCTCTCTTTGAAAAGAGAAAGTCATCATTTTCTGTGATTTAAATGTAGTCTGTCGTTAAAGGTACCTAAATGTGACACTTCAGGGAGATGTATTCCTGGCTTAGGCACTAAGGTAAAGTGTCAGAATAAATCACTAAAAATTGAAGACATGGTAGTCTGTGGGATGTGGCAAATCACTGTCACAGCTACAAAGTGTATCACAAAGGAGACTTTTCTAGAAGAAATTCAAGGACAACCTGATCCCGGAAATGGTCTTTTTGGAATTTGGTCTTTTGTCACTTCATGCCATGTGGGAATGTAATAGCAGTGCTGTGTTGCTGGCAGAATTAGTGTTGGAATTCAGAAAACTTAGAACATTTTGGCAGTATTTGAATACGTTTCTCTATATCTGTGTGGAATTATAGTTCTATGGCTCTGTCATTTATTACACACTTCTCTTTGTCAAGCATTCTGAAGAACAAATTTGAATTTTACTCCTGTCCTCTTCAAGGTTATAATTGAAAATAGTGTACCGTGCCAAGAAATGGGGTAAAAATGGCGATGAAAATTCTAGATGGTTCTTTATGTTTTTTTCTGACACCATCTAGAACGCTTACACAGGTCACTTTTGTAATTAGCTGAAATTTTACTATCTGAAGGAAATGGATTCATCTTTTATCTAGATGTGTGTGTTTTATATTCTCTCTGTTGAAAGAAATGACTTCTCTGTTGATTTAGAAATCATTTTAATCTGTACAATTTTAAAGCTGTTCTTTACCACTGTAGATAGCTTAGGAAAAAAAAAAATCATTCTATGGTATTTAAGCAGCTAAAGTAGACACATTTCATAAATGTCTTTAAAAATTAAAAATTATTGGTTATTCAATGGTTAAAAAAGATACAAAGGAAGCTGTTTCTTTATTTTATTAAACTGTCAAAATAGGTCATATTTTTGAGGGAACAATTTTGTATTATGCAAAAAGAAAATGTTATTTACATATAAAAAAGTTTTCTGACGCTTATTTTTTAATGTTAAAAAGTTAAGTATGGCGATTGGGGAAGAATTTTATAACACAGTAGTTTTCCTGAGCAAACCTTAAGTTCACATGGGTTCTGTAATTTTCCAGACCTACAGGTTTACATTTAGACATCATCTCCATACTCAGTAAATGTATAGATATGTTGTGATTTGATAATCTAACGTGTTTTCCTGTTTTCAGTTAGCTACTGATTGACTCAGAGTGAATTAAAAGAAAAGATTAAAGTTCTTCTGTTTGTCCAAACTCTTCTCCTTGGCCTTGGAGGGCCTCCTCTGGGCCAACATGGCCTGCCATCTGTGTCTGCCTCACAGTAACCATATGCTGCCCCGTGTGTGACCACACACCATCATACTGCCGTCACCATTTCTTGGAGCTGCCTAGACTTCTTTGAATTCTTTTCTTTTCTCAAGCAATTTTCTCTTCCTGGAATTCTTTCCTTGCTGTACGTGGATCTCTTGTGTCTTATCTATTGTTTAAGGTCCGTTTCAAATCCCACCTTCCCAGGGAGCTTTCTCTAGGCTGCTTCTCCTCCCCTGGCAGTAATAGCTCTCGTAGAAATCCACGTCTTCTCTTAGGGCATTTTCAGTGAAGTCGTCAGAATGCCTGTCCTCCTTCTCAGACTGGTGATCTGTGAGAGCAGGGCTCTTCCACTTTCTCCTCTGTTCCCTCCCTGCATGCTCTAGCACCAGCCATGCCCATGTAGAGTTTCCATCCATGAAGAGTAAGCCGTGGAAGGAAATACATGAGAGTCATGGCTGGGGGTCCTGGCCTGTGAGCCTCTTCTACCCCTACCTAGTTACAAGTTACTTATTGGCCAAAGTGTCATGGAAAGCAAACCAATTTGGCACCAGATTTTGAAGGCCTTATAAATTAGGCTTGGGCTTCCCAGGTGGTGCTAGTGATAAAGAACCCACTTGCCAAAGCAGGAGACATAAGAGACATGGCTTTGATCCCTGGGTTGGGAAGATCTCCAGGAGGAAGGCACAGCAACCCACTCCAGTATTCTTGCCTGGAGAATCCCATAGACAGAAGTGTCTGGCAGGCTACTGTCCTTAGGATCGCAAAGAATTGGACACAACTGAAGCAACTTAGAACATAGATAAGACTTGACTCAGTAGGCAGTGGAGAGCTATTATTTTTCTACAGAACCTGTTTTAGGCACTAAATATCTTCAGTGAACTTTGTATTTAATGATGTGCATGGGAAGAAACTATTTAAGAATGATCAGGTTCACAGTGATATAGAGAATGAATGGGAGAGTGGTGAGTGGGCTGTTCTCAGGAGTTTGAAAAAGAGCAGTGTCATATTTTAGGTGTTCTATCATAAGGAATAGAGCTTCCCAGGTGGTACTGTGGTGAAGAATCTGCCTGGCAATGCAGGAGATGCAAGAGACTCACGTTAGGTCTCTGGGTCAGGAAGATCTCTATATCTGTTACAGTTAGGAAATGGCAATCTGTTCCAGTTTTCTTGCCTAGAAAATGCCATGGATAGAGAGGCCTGGTGAGTTACAGTCCATGGGGTCCCAAAGAGTCAGACTTGACTGAGCGACTGAGTACACACACACACACTCACTCACACATACACACACACACACACACACACACCCCATAGGAATAGACTTAGAGATTTATGCTTTCCTACATTCAAAAGTACAAAGAGGCTGAAGAGAGGAAAACCAGAAAAATAAAGTAGCAAAAACTAATATTCTATAGAGTGAAAAATGAGGTCATATTGAGAAGTGTCAAGAATATAGATTAAAAAGTGTGAATGTAAGAGATGTGGATAAAAGAAGAGTTTAGAGATGTACGAATGGAAATGCTATTTATTTCTTTAAAAATTGAAATTAGCTAAAAAGGATAGATTCTTAAATTGAAAAACCAAGCTAAAAACTAAGACTGTAAGGACTTTGTTTAATGTTGTTCTATAATGTAGTGACTGTACATATTCCTTTTTCTCACCTGATTAGTGGATCTCTTAGAGTTGAATACAACAAACGAAGTTTTCGAGCAGCACAAACTGAACCAAAATGATCAGCTTCTTAGTGTTCCAGATGTCATCAACTGTCTGACAACAACTTATGATGGCCTCGAACAAATGCATAAGAATTTGGTCAACGTTCCTCTCTGTGTGGATATGTGTCTCAACTGGCTACTCAATGTATATGATACGTAAGTTTGCATTTTTTCCATTAAAATATAATCATTTGATGAAATTTTTTGACAATGTAAAATATCTGAATTTTTGTAAGTATTTTTAAGAAAGTATTTTCAAAGTACTTTTCCCAGTGGAAATATTTATGTTAATTGTTGAGAAGGAATGACTTTCCAAAAATTGAGTTCTTAACCAACAATGGAACAAAAAAGAATGTCCATCTATGATTTTAAGATCTTGCTTCAGTTTCAAATTTGTAGTGTTTTTAGTCTCTGTGCTAGAGGAAACCTAATGAAAAAAGTCTGATTTCCTTCCTCAATTTTTTAGAGTATTTTTTCAAAAGACAAAATTTCATATTTATTGTTTTGAGTTTAAAAATATATTGGTTCATAATAATCCACTCTGCATTTTTTTGTATAACTACTTAAGAGCAATTTGGATGGCAGTTAAAAGGATTTAATTTCTCTTTTGGTATTGGCTTTATTTATTGCAGTTGTGGTTATGTGTATATATTGTGTTTTAAATAACATATGCTTTAGGCCACTCTAATATCTGTAATTTAATTAGATACTCATTGTTACATAGAGAGCACTCCCTACTTCCAGCATGACTCATTTGCCATTAATTTGACTTTCTTGAATGTGACAATGCATTTGTGAAATAATCAATTCTAGAAAGCCCTGCTGTGGGCTGACATTTCTGAAATATTAGGAATTATTCATTCTTCTGGTAGGGGGTTAAAGTATGCAAAGATGAAATAAGAAAATTAGAACTTTTGTTTTTCTCTCAGACTCTGAAAGTTATTTTCCATTAACTAGCTATATGAAAATCTGTGCTTGTCAGTTTTTTATTTGATTTAGAGTGAAAGGAAATAGATGATAGTTCATAAATGCAAGCAGCTGATTGATTCTATATAAGAAGTAAATGATAGTTACAATAGCTTTCAGGATGATTTAATTAACATTTCATTTATTCTTTGGGTTAGAAAAATCTTTTATCTTTCATTACTTACGAATATCATAGCAAAGCCTTTTTTAATAATCAAATCGCCATTGTGTGGTTGAGAGCTCTTAAGAAACTCCCTGAAGAACAGGTAGCATGAATCTCCATTACCATGATGAACATGGGCTTTGCTATCTCCTTGTCTAATACATTTTAATGCATTTCATTTTAATTCCAATTTTTATACTTCTAGGATAAAACATGACTGTTAGCATTAATTCACTGTTAAGTTGATCTTCAGTTTTTTTAAACCTATAAGAGACATTTTCTGTAGTAACTTCACTAAAATAACTGATCAATTAGGTGTTTTATCTACAAAATGTTTCACTTAATTTTATGTCCCAAAAAGCTATAGTTAAGAACTTCCTTAGCTCTATGGAGTATGATAGAGGTGTGCATTTTGATCTATATTGTAAGGAAGAACTGGGGAAGATGTTAAATTGCCCTCTTTTCAGCATTATCTGTGACTCTAACACACTGTATTAGTCAGCTTGGGCTGCTGTAACAAAGTATCACAGCACAGCCTAGGTAGCTTAAACAACAGAAATTTATTTCTCACAGTCCTGGAGGCTGAAAGTCCAAACTCACGATGTCGGCAGGGCTGATTTCTTCTGAGGCCTCTTTCCTTGGCGTTTAGATGGCTTTCTTCTCCTTGTGTCCTCACATGGTTTTCCTTCTGTGTATGTGTGTGTGTCCTAATGTTCTTTAAGAACTCTAGTCGTAGTGGATTAGAGCCCACCCTATATGCTTCATTTTAACTTAATTGCCAATATTAAGGCTCTCCATATATAGTTGCATCTTGAGGTACTGGGAGTTAGGACTGAAACATATCAATTTTAGGGGAATGTAGCTCAGCCTGTAATATGTACATATGCTGTTTTCACTGGACTGCCCAAAGGGAATAGTGCCACTTAATTGGAAAGGAAGCAGTGTGTGAAATGTTGTGATTCATATTCCAGGGAGTTAAATTTTGGCACATTATCACTTTCTACCATCAAATGTGAACACATGAGAAATGCAACACAGAGATAAGTGTTTCTTATTTAGAAAGACAGTATTTTGAAATTCTCCGTTTTAAAAGAAAAGAGCTTTTAGGATTTATCCCCTTTCCATGCCAAAGAGAGTCCTTGACTCTCGAGAGTCCCTTGGACAGCAAGGAGATCAGACCAGTCAATCCTAAAGAAAATCAACCTGAATATTCCTGGAAGGACTGATACTGAGGCTGAAGCTCCAATACTTTGGCCACCTGATGTGAAGAGCTGACTCATTGGGAAAGACCCTGATGCTGGAAAGATTGAAGGCAGAAGGAGAAGAGGGCGACAGAGGATGAGATGGTTGGATGGCATCACCGACTTAATGGGCATGAGTTTGAGCAAACTCCAGGAGACATTAAAGAGTTGGACACGACTTAGTGACTGAACAGCAACAGCATGCCAAAGAAACAGCAAGAACCATGCTGGGTTAGAGCAGTGGCCATCCAGTTGAGTTTTCCATTTTGAAGAGAAGCACCACTAATTCAGCTAAGGAAAAAACAGTTACTCCTCTGATGATAGTCTCAGATGGCCAGAGTTAATTACCCAAATTTCTGTAGCAACTATGACTTATTCATTTATCTAAACAAGAGATATCGGTCTTCCCTTGTCTCTCTGCTGGTAAAGAATCCTCCTGCAATGTTGAAGACCTGGGTTCAATCCCTGGGTTGAGAAGATCCCTTGAAGAAGGGAACGGCTTCCCACTGCAGTATTCTGACCTGAAGAATTCCATGGACTGTGTAGTTCATGGGGTCGCAAAGAGTCAGACACGACTAAGTGACTTTCACTTCACTTCAAACAAGAGTTATTAGCTGTTTTCAAGTCATTAGTTTCCTTTGAGAAACTAATAGAACTGTGATCTACTCCATCCAATGCACCAGGATATTATGGACCCCTAAGAAGTCTCTGAACCTTGGAAATGGTATCATGACCAAATTCTTCTATTCATTCAGTTAATCTGACATTCTTCTATTAAATATATATATAATATGTATATATATATTTTTTTAACTGCATTGCTTTGTGTAGCATGTTGCAACAAGACCTGGTATTTTCAGCTATTGAAATATATTCAGCCGACTCTTGAAATAAATTGATGCACAGACCGAAGGTCTTAGAATTCTGGAAGCAGAAGGACTTCAAGAATCTTCCATTCTGTCCTTTCTTTACTGATTGAGAAATTGACCCAATGAGATAAGACAATTTATCCACAGCTACCTACTGTATATTTTTAGTGGTAGATATGTAACTAGTATTCAGGTTTTTTAATGATCACTTGATTTTTCCTACTATATTGCCATATCTAAGAAAAATGGGACTTTATAAATTATATTGTTTACTGTTTCTTTCAGCTTTTAACGTGTGCCACCTTCTAATATTCTGAATTGTCTGAAAAAAGTCTATTTTCTTCTGTTGTGGAGGATAAGAATTCAAATTTTTGGTTCTGATTGCTTTACAACTTGGGAACCACTTAATTTTTGGCATCTCAATTTTTCAGATGAAAAGCTGAGATAAAAATATCTGCTCTGCTTCTCATACATAAGTGATTGTGAAGGGCAAATGATCTAGTATATTTAGAAAGTACCTTAGAAACTATAAAGATAAGATTGATTCCATTTATGTGTTCACAGCCTCACTCAGTCTTAATCTTCCTGGGCTAAAAAGTCTTAATTCTACAATCTTCCTTTTAAATTTAATGGAAATCAAACTTATTTAAATCAAGATTTAAAGCAGTAGTCTGGATTATTTGGTTTAAATATTTTTGTCCCTGCAGAAAATATTAATCTCATTTGATGCATTGTTAAGTCATTTTCCCCACTATCCAAGGTGCATATAATTTTATTTATAAGGTATAATACATATCTTTCTGGCTGAATTAATTTCAGGAGAACTTATGAAGACTATCAGGGAACTAAATACTGAAATATAGGGTTATGTCACTCACTAAAAAATTTTATTGTCTCCCTATTCTCTTTCAAATTCTGTAACATATTTAATATCAAAGCCCTCTGTCATCTGGCTCCATATAACCTGGGCAACATTATCAGTCATTTACCCTTGATGTACGTTCTTGCTGTACGTGATGGATCTTGACTCTAGTGCTCACATCCCCTTCCTCTGTCCCCTTGTCTGGGCTTTTCCTATGATAATTTGCTTTCTCCCAGTCAGGGTGGTCTAGCCATGTCATGTCTTCAATGTCTGATTTTAGACTTCTCTATCAAATGCTGTGAGGCTAATAACGACTTAGGCTAAACACCAATCATTAACGACTCGTCAGCCACAGTGATCTTGTACTTGATTATTTCCATGCGTAAGATCGGTCTTGTATTTCCTTATGATTCTCTGTCTGTTTTCTTGTCTCACCTGTCCAGCTAGGCATGGGTAGGAATCGTGTCTTACACTTAAGGTACACAGAACAGTGCTGGGATCTCAGTAAGCCTTTCTAAGCATTGGTGGTGCGATGAATGGATGATTGACATTTTCAATAGTCTTCCTGATGGTGTTGCTTTGTTGTTCTGTCACCATTGACTGGAGGTCGGCCTCCAATATGTATGAGTTTGATCTTTTTTTTTCCCCCTTAAGGGCTTACTTTGTCCTTAGCCATATTCATGTGCTCGTCCATTTGCACGGCCTTTTGTTATTTTCTGCAAGTCTATTGTCCAGAGAATATAATATCCTGAGTTTTGGAGGGTAAAAAACAGACACAGTCTTCTTTTCATGTGATAATTAGGAAAGACCTTAAAAATATGAAGTAGAAACACACTTTATAGCATGGCTCAGTTTAAGGCTAATTTGAAACCTGTATTTCTATAATTGTGAGAAACTGGAATGTGCATGTAAAGTTTAGATTTCTGCTTATAATGGGTTTATTTATTTTAAAATTTAAGTATTAGTTATTTCATAGGTCAATTCTGAATGTAGTACACATACATAGCAAGGGTTCAGTATGTTTGTTGGGTGTGATTTAATACAGGTTATAAACTCTGGCCTATCAGGGGACTTTTTTTTCTTTGCTGTACCCTACAGTTTGCAGACTCTTAGTTCCCTAACCAGGGATTGAATCTGAGTCCTCGTCTGTGAAAGTACAGAGTCCTAATCACTGGACAGTCAAGGAATTTCCACAAGGGACTATTTGAAAATACATTTTACTAATCCCTAAGCATGTTTTCCTTTTTATAAATTTATTTTATACTTTATATGTCATTGTGTGAATACAGAAACTTATTTGAGTATTTATAATTTGAGAATGAAAGATATCAATTAGCATTAATAATAAAAATATCAATAAGCCAGACTTAAGTCCAGTTTGACAATAAACTACCTAAAATTAAATGAGACAAATATTTGTATGTTTTTAAATATTATGAGTTACTAAATTTTATGGACTCGTATAATTATGTAAACATTTAGTTACAGGTTTTGAATGTGCTGTACTTGTGTATGGAAAACATAAGAAAATTCACAACCAAAACTGAAATTGAAAACTGATCCTGCTTATGTGAAATAGTAAAGATAGCAGTCTTTATTATCTTTATTTTTTCGAGACTGTGTGTCATTTCACAGCAAGGATCATGTGTTATTAATGTTTGTAGCTTCTGCATTTTCCTTTCCACAGCCCCAAGATCCAGTACAGCGTGACATCTGATAAGACAGCTCATTTGTTCTTTAACTAAAGAATAAATACAACTTTAACGAAAGATTTTAACTTTTGTTAAAATTCTTTAACAAAAAAATAAATAAAACTCTGTGCTTTTAAACATAAAGTTTTTCTAGCCAAAATATATGTGAAATTGAAATGATCTCTCATTGGCATAATATGAAGTTATTTCCTAGTGTTAATTAAATACATTTTGTGTTTAATTGTAATTTGATACTTTCCCAAATAAAGATTGCACACCTGTGTGTTTAAGATCATTGACTATTATAACTGCAGTGGTAATTTATAGAAACTACATTGACAGAGCTAAAAAAAATCAATGAAGGCCAAGTGTTTTAAGTATTCAACAAGTTATAAACCCTCAATATAGAACTAATTTTCCAGTCAATTTCCTTACATCTGTTTTTAGGTACATCATTATCCCTTTCTTGCTGTATTGTCACATGCATATTATATATATCAGTATCTATTTGTAAATTGCATATATAATTATTAACAAATTTTAATTCAGTGTTTATAAAAATAAAATCTTTTTAGCTTTATAATTAGCACTTTCATTTTGCTTTTTTTTGTTGTTGTTCTTTCTAGTTCATATGTTGTGTAAAGTGATTTTAGGCTGTATATTCTTCCAGACTAAGTCAAATATACTGTTAAAATTTGTCATGAACTTATGGTGTGGGCTTAACATTAATTAATAAAGTTGAATAGAAAGTTGCATTAAGATACAGCTTTTTTATGGTTTACCCTCAAGAGAATAGATATCCAGAAATAATTAACATACTCTATAAAATTTTAAAGGCATCTAACACACTGAGATTCTTACAATTTCAGGGGCCGGACTGGAAAAATAAGAGTGCAGAGTCTGAAGATTGGATTGATTGCTCTCTCCAAAGGCCTGTTAGAAGAAAAATATAGATGTATGTAAGACTTTTCCTTTACCAGTACTGTTTTTAGTAATAATAATAACAATTTATTGGATACTTTTGTGATTTGCTAGTAATAATGGTTCCCATTTTTTAAAAAACCTTGACTATACATGTACTAGGCTAGACAAAGGGTATTGGTGCAAAGAGATGTGGACTTCTGTGAAATGGAAAACTGATTTATAGGATCAAGATGTAAGGTGCCTTGACGAAATAAGAACCAACCAAAGATTATATCTCATTTAATTCTTAGAGTGATTGTCCCATAATATAGGCGTTGTGATATCCATCTTCCAGCTGAAAAAAAAATAATGCTGGGGTTGGGTTAAAAATCTAGTTCAGGCTGCAGAGACAGTAATTGTGGAGCTAGAATTAGATTGTAGATTTTTCTGACTGTAAGGCTACAGCCTTTTCTATTTGTATATATTTCCAATGCTTAAGAAAACTGGGATGACTACAACTGTTATAGTGAGACAAATAATTGTATTTTATAGTGTGAAAAAATTAAAAGTAGTACATTAAAAAAGTTTTTTTGTTATATTTGTTTTTATTCAGCAAATAAGTCAGTGGTGACCTTTTAACCATCAGTTAATAAAGGTCGGCATCTTGGCATTTGGAAACAAACAGGCTTAGGAGCCAGGAAGACCTGCCTTCAAATCTCAGCTCTACCGCTTAGTGGCTAGGTGATTCCACTGAATACGAACAGCTAAGAGGTAGTAAGAATACTCCCATTTCACATTTCAGGAAGCTAAAACTTAGCAAATCTTCAACTGAAGAGTGAAACTAATAATTCTTGCTTTGAAAATAATTACCTAAAATAGCAGTTGTTGAATAAATGGTAGTAAATACTGCTGTGTCTCCAAACTCTTAATTACTGTAAAATTTTTGATTTAATTATATCCATAAAATATGAGTTACTTGATTATGTCTTGCATAGCCTCATGTGATTCTGTATAGATACATCTATCCATACTTTCGAGAGACAGGGAGAGGGGGATATTTCATGAATGGGAGATACCACAGACGAGAATATTTGACCTCAGCTTCTATAAATTTTAGTTTTGCATCTTCTCTGAACATGAATACATTTTAAAATGCATTTATTTTCTGGGACAGCTGTGAGGTGGTTTGATTTTGAATTCCAGGGCTAAATCATGATGGCTTGTTCTTACACAGTTTGGAAAGAATGCCAATGAAAAGAGATGTGGATCTATATGAATTGAAAAGCTGATTGTAGGATCAGGAGGTGAGGTGCCTTGATGGAGTCAGAACTCAGTAAACCATGCAGAAAAAATCTTTACCCAGACTTTTGCGTGGTGGCAATTTATCTAGAATTTAAATTGTCTTCAGCATCATAATTGTCAAAAGATATCATTTTCAAAGCTAAAAATGTTGTTACTATAATGAGTGAGAAAAATGTTAATGAAATCATCAGTGTATCAGATTAGCAAAGGACTTTTTAAAATCAGCTGTGATTTGCTGTTTTCATGTGCTCCTGAAAGAATTTAGGGTTTGTTGCAAAGTTACAGTTATGTCATGGGGCTTAACCTACTCTGAAAAGAGTATAAATACAATTTTGCAGAGTTTATCATGAATACTATTAAAATGTAATGGTGATCTGTTTTTCTAGATCAATAGTTCCTCCTCCTCCTCCTTTTATTTTTCAAGCTGATTATGAGTCATCTAAAGCCAAAAGAGTTACAACATGGTGGCTGTAGGTTTAGAGTAGAAACCAAATTCAATGCAATATATTAAAAAAAAATCTCTTATCTACACACATACCTTCACACATACTTCTGAAATGTATAATCTTTCAACTGAGGAGGTATTTCAGCATACGTGTAGTCATACACTAGAACTACAGTGGACACACTTTCCACAAATATCGGTGAACTTAATACTCTGTGTAATTCAACGTTAAAGTTTCAGATTGGGGCAGGGGAAGAGGAAGCCCTGCAATGAAAACCTCTGATATTTAATTTAATCCATGAAGTATGCCGTTTAGGGGGCGTCCCAGGTGGCACTAGTAGTAAAGAACCCGCTCGTCAATGCAGGAGAGATAAGAGACGGGGGTTCAATCTCTGGGTCAGGAAGTCCCCTGGCGGGGAGCATGGCAACCCACTCCAGTATTCTTGCCTGGAGAATCCCATGGACAGAGGAGCCTGGTGAGCTGCGGTTCATGGGGTCACAAAGAGTTGGACACAACTGAAGACACACAGCGTGCACACACATGCCATTTAGAAATTAAATAAGAAATCTTTGGGTTGAAATCTTTAAATCTTTCTTGAGAGTGTTGAGACTCAGAATATTCTGTGTTTTTTTGCTTGTTTTTTACTTTGAGGTCCTTAGCATCTCTGGTTCCAGATGTGATTTCCCCGGTGGTATCAGAACACTTTCTCATTATTATTTTCTTTGTTGGAATTAATATTCAGGACAATTTGTTCTCCAAACTCAGGGGCAGAGCTGCTCTTCTGGGTGAATGGGTATCCATCTGAACATTGATTTGCAATGGTTCATGTCAGTGTGTTTACCCCATGACACCCTCTTTCTTTCTGTGACTTCCTGGGAATGTCGCTTGATTAGGTTCTAACAGCACCTTGGCCTGCCTGCTTATATAGCTCAGTGGTTTCCTGGCCTCATCAGAGCACATTTACAAAGATGCTTTCAAATGGCCTTTTGCATCTCTTTTTTGCTTATTTATGTTTAGATTGAGACTTTCCTATGATCCATCCCCACATCCTGACATTCCTTATTGTATCTGATTGTAATATCAAAATGTGAACTTCTGTAAGACTTCAGAAATATGTCAGAATGTTAGGAAATCGTTTATGTTTTGCATGTAGTTTTATCTTACTAGTGGCATAGTAGTGTAGCTGTCTTCCTCAAAAGGGGAAAGGTGGGCAGGATGGATCTTGCTGAACATGTATACTCTCTCTAGAGATTATTATTACATGTATGCATCAACTTTATTGATTTCAGAGGCCTCATCCCAGGAACAGGTTTACTCTGAGAATCATAATAAGAATTTTGAGTCATATGGTAGTTTTACTCCTAGTTTTTTAAGGAATCTTCATACTGTCTTCCACAGTGGCTGTATCAGTTTACATTCCCAACAGTGCAAGAGTGTTCCCTTTTCTCCACACCCTCTCCAGCATTTATTGTTTGTGGACTTTTTGATGATGGCCATTCTGATCAGTGTGTGATGATATCTCATTGTAGTTTTGATTTGCATTTCTCTAATGATGAGCAATGTTGAGTATCTTTTCATGTGTGTGTTAGCCATTGTATGTATTCTTTGGAGAAATGTCTGTTTAGGTCTTTTCCCCACTTTTTGATTGGGCTGTTTGTTTTTCTGATATTGACTTGTATGAGCTGCTTGTATATTTTGGAAAGTAATCCTTTGTCAGTTGTTTCATTTGCTATTGTTTTCTCCCATTCTGAGGGTTGTCTTTTTACCTTGTTTATGGTTTCCTTTGCTGTGCACAAGCTTTTAAGTTCTATTAGGTCCCGCTTGTTTATTTTTGTTTTTATTTCCATTACTCTAGGAGGCGGGTCATAGAGGATCTTGTTTTGATTTATGTCATCGAGTGTTCTGTCTATGTTTTCCTCTTAACAGTTTTGTAATTTATGACCTTACATTTAGGTCTTTAATCCATTTTGAGTTTATCTTTGTGTATGGTATTAGGAAGTGTTCTAATGTCATTCTTTTATATGTAGCTGTCCAGCTACATGTTTTTCTAGGACCACTTACTAAAGAGGCTGATCCTTGCCTCCTTTGTCAAAAATAAGGTGCCCATGGGTGCATGAGTTTATCTCTGGGCTTTCTGTCTTGTTCCATTGGTCTATGTATTTCTGTTTTTGTTCCAGTACCATACCATCTTGATGACGGTCGCTTTGTAGTATAGTCTGAAGTCAGGAAGGTTGGTTGCTCCAGCTCCATTCTTTTTTCTCAGGGTTGGCTATTTGGGATCATGTTTTCATATGAATTGTGAAATTTTTTGTTGTACTTCTGTGAGAAGTGCCATTGGTAATTTGATAGGGATCATATTGAATCTGTAGGTTACATTTGGTAGTATAGCTGTTTTTACAGTATTGATTCTCCCAACTCAGGAGCATGAAATATCTGTCCATCTGTTTATGTTGTCTTTGATTTCTTTCATTGGTGTCTTATAGTTTTCTGTATGCAGTTCTTTTGTCTGCTTAGGTAAATTTATTTCTAAATATTTTGTTGTTTTTATTGCAATTATGAATGGGATTGATTCCTTCATTTCTCTTTGATTTTTCATTGTTAGCATATAAGAATGCAAGTGAATTCTGTGTATTGATTTTGTATCCTACAGCTTTGCTAAATTCACTAATTTGCTCTAGTAATTTTCTGATAGTATCTTTAGGGTTTTCTGTGTATTGTATCATGTCATCTGCAAACAGTGAGAGTTTCATGTTGATGTTTGGCAGAAGCCAAGACAATTCTGTACAGCAATTATCTTTTGATTAAAAATAAATTAATTAAAACTTAAGAACTCTGGATAAATAATTTTGGCTAGAATGGTCTTATTTTTAACAAATGAGAAGAAACATGTAAACTCTAACCAAATCTAAGTGAACAAATGATAAAAATTAAATTTATTTTAATTGAATTTGCTTTCCCTATGTATGCTTTTAATTAAAGTCATATTTCATTATAATTACTGTGTCAATATCACTGAGCTTGGTTTATTTGCTTGAAAATTTACTGTTGACAGTGTTAAATCTAGCCTTATTCTCTTTGAAAAGTGGGGGGAGGGCAGAGGAATGATACATTTTGATCTGATACTCATTTATCAGGTGTTTGAAAATGGTTTTTAGGATCCAAAAAATATTTAGTCTCCTTTCTTCTATTTTTAGAAAACCTCATATGAAAACCCTTTAGAATCTGTACAATTTTGAATTTTTAGAACTTGAAATTTTCTTTCCAAAAAGTATTCGTTTCTATAATGAAGTGGATTGTTTTTATGTGAAATTTCTCCCTACTCCAAAAGTAACTTGTTTAAGTATGTTAACTTTGTTGCTGGAAATATGGTAACAATCTTTAAACATTTAAATGAATAGAAAAGCCTAAGAACTATGAAAGTATGTATTTTTCTTAAGTCCTTTACCTTGGAATTAATGTAGTTTGTTGCATAAAGTGAAGTAAAACAAAAATAATTTCTATCATTGATAAGGAATGAGAGACTGGGAAAAAAAAAAACACCCTAAAAAAAAGACAATTCCTTGTACTATTTAATGTTTCTTTTGCAAAGTAGATGTGAGTCTAGAAACTTTAAAAGAAATTGAAATACATATGTTTAATAAATACTGAATTTAGAAGTGAACACAAAAAGTTGATGAACAAATCTTTTAAAATTTAAAGATTTGCTGCTTCAGGTACATTCATTCCTTTGACAAGTCATAGAGAAAACTTGGTTTTAGCTCTCTCTTTTTCAGTCAGAAGGGAAACCTATTTGAAATAATTGAATGAATCCATGTGCATACATTGGCCATTTAAAAAGGAAATTTGTATTTACTGGTCTGTTCATATTTACTCACATACTACAGTAGATTGTTCTAGGAAACATGTACTTAACCAGTTCCTGATTACAAACATACAGAATATCAGAGTTGTCAGAGTGCAGGAGACAAGTAATGTAATGCACGTCCCCATGAGTTTTTTTTTCAGTCTGCATTGTTCATCCCACACAACCAAAGGTATATTTTACTTAAAAGATCAGTATGGGAGGTTAACCGCTTGCCTGTCTTCCTTGTAGATCTCTTTAAGGAAGTGGCGGGGCCCACGGAAATGTGTGACCAGAGACAGCTCGGCCTGTTACTGCACGATGCGATCCAGATTCCTCGGCAGCTGGGGGAGGTAGCAGCTTTCGGGGGCAGTAATATTGAGCCCAGTGTTCGCAGCTGCTTCCAACAGGTAAACGTTTTTGAAGGATCGTTGGTGTATAGAGTGTGTGGAGAGTGGTACTGAGGATGTTCTGAGAAATGAAACAGGGGTCTTGGGCTGGACCCAGGTGGTGGAAGACACTGGGTACCATCCCAGGAAGTATATATTTTAGTTCTTAAAGCACATTTGATTCAAGAAACAGCAACCCTTTCAGGGAGACTCACTGTCCCTCAGTGGATAAAACCTCAAATCTTGACCATGCCCCATTAGATTGCTATGATAAGGCCCAGCCTTTGCCCTAGCCTCACCTTGTACCACTGGTCCCCTTACTGTCTGTTGTCCAGTCATACTGTTTTAGCTCCTTCGTTCTGGTGCTGATCTCTCTGGACATGTGCCCTCTGTTCAGAATGTTCTTTACCCTCTAACCCACAAACTCTCTTCTCAGTGCTAATCCTTATTTATTCTGTAGATCTTCCCTTAAATCCCACATCCTCTGAAAAACCTCTGACTCCTTCAGATGAAGCTCTGTGTGCCTGCTATATTCACCTGAATCTCCTCTGCCTTCTTTGCATGCTCATTAAAATTGATAATTATATATTGAATTATATAATTATCTGTTTAGTGATTTAGTGGGTTATTCTTCTTCTGTATAAACCTAAGATCCATGAGGGCTTCCCTGGTGCTTCAGTGTTAGAGAATCTACTTGCCAGTGCTGGAGGCACAGGTTTGATCCCTGGATCAGCAAAGATCCCCTGGAGAAGGAAATGGCAACTCATTTCAGGATTCTAGCCTAGAAAAATCCATGAACAGATAAGCCTGGTGGGCTGCAGTCCATGGGATCTCAAAGTGTCAGACACAACTTAGCAAATGAACAACAAACCTCCATGACCAAGGGATGTTTCTTTTTACTGTTGTATCACTATCTACAGTGTCTTGAACATCATAGCTGCTTAATAGTTGTTTATTAAATAAATGAATAAAATTGCCCTGAGCTCCTTATAGGTAAGATTTTTTAAAAATATTAAGATGTGTTAAAATTGCATTGTTTTCTTTGAGACATATGTACAAAAGGAGAATGATATACAAAATTTTATACTGATCTAAGTTAGTGTTATTAAACAGGAAAAGCATGTTTGTTTCTTTTTGATGCTTATTGTATAGAAAAGCATTTTAGGAACGTTACTACTGATGTTAGGCATATGCATAAAGTACAGGCCTGTAGATATTTTTTCCATATCCAGTGATTTATCATTGCTGAGGAAAAAATGCTCACACCATCTCTTTAAGGAGAATTGATGTTATGGGTTATTACATTTTATAATGGCCCCATTTGTTGTTTTAGAGATAACAAAAAATACCAAATGAAAATTCTAAATATGATTCTCATACATACTGGTTCATAGAATGACCTTGACAACAGCAGGAGATGGATGTTGGTACAAATTAAATTTTGCATATGTGAACATTACTTAGTCTTAGGATTTAAAAAGACACCAAGACATTTCATACAATTTATCACAGTACATTTGGAAATCCTGCAAAATATATTCATGGTAATGTGCTCCTGGTGTGATGTTATACCAGGACTGAAAAAGAACAGAGAAATAACAGTTTTTGGGGTCATGGATTCATTTATATGAAGTAAAATTTATAAAAAGACCAAAAAAGTATATACAAATGTATGATAGCGGTTTCTTCTACAGAAAAAGGAACGTGAATGCGGTGAGGAGAGTGGCAAGTAAAAATTAGGTCTTCAACTTATCTGTTGTGTTTTGTTTCTATCACATAAAAACAATCAAAGAATTATAAGAAAAACTGGCAAACTGTAGAAATAACAGCTTTTATTTAGCATTTACAATGGCTTTCAAGTTTGGGAATTTATCAGTGAGTCTTTACTTTCTCAGTGTTTGCAGTCTTAGATGAATGAGTTTTATAGTTTTAAAGTATCTGTGTGAAGAGCACCTAGAATTATATGAGTTTGGGTTTTTTTTTTAATCAGTCTATTAAGATATTGAGACTTTTTTCTTCTTCATATATGATAATTTCTTCTTTTTCTCTTTTCCAATTCTAGAATTATTTTTCCCTGATGAACCTTAAATATTTTGCGATTTAAGTGACCTGGAAAGAGTTCTGTAATTCTCCTTTTACTTCTATACAGATTTTCAGAAGAGTTTGAAGCAACAACAGTTGCTGCAGTTTAAACGGAGACATTTTCTTCACTTTTAACGTACTTGTTTCTTGCCCAGAATAACAACAAGCCAGAGATAAGTGTGAAAGAGTTTATAGATTGGATGCGTCTGGAGCCACAGTCCATGGTTTGGCTGCCGGTTCTACATCGCGTGGCAGCAGCTGAGACTGCAAAGCATCAGGCCAAATGCAACATCTGTAAAGAATGTCCAATTGTTGGATTCAGGTAGGATGCTCCACTACCAGTGGTGCCAGGAGGCTTTTTTTCTGTTCCATTTGTGTAGTTTCAGTGTTTGTCCATTATTCCTTCCCACTTGTTCCCATTTGGGGGTGGGGGTTGCCTCTTAAAGAAGTAGTATGCTTGATATGTACCATCTGTCTGAAAATAGCATTCCCTCGAATAGCCAGTACATGAAGCTTATTTTTTTATCGTTTATTTATACTATTTGGCTCCAGAACCAAAGATTTTTCTGAATTTCTATTTACATAGGTCACAGAAGTGTCCATGCGGATAATATTTTGCATAACTCTTTATGTATATATGACCCTGATGGAATTTGGTGATGTTCTAAGACCGTTGGGATCAAACTTGGTAAACAAGAAGTAGCATTTAAATGCTAACAGAAGTAATCAGATTACTTCATGTTACTTCTGCCGAGTTTGACATGATGGAGATTAACCCAGCTTTCACACAAGGAGTCTTTGTCAGGGAATTTTGAGATTCATTTTTTATTGATGGTAAAGGTGATATTTTAAATTTTGATGTGTCAAGCTAATAAACATAACTCTTTCTTTGTCATTTTGCATTCACATTCAACATTATAGAAAATCTTTTGACATGGGTATTTGTCATCTCATTATGTTGAAACAGATGAAAACATGATTTAGAGACTTCAACTACAAAAATTTGCCTTTTCCTCCTCACTTAGGAGATGGTTTCTTTAATTTCTTTTGTGAAATTTAAGATTCTCTCTGTCCTAACTTGGAGCTAAAATACTACAAAAGCAAATTCTACATTTCTGGTCAATATAACTTTTAGTTTCATTGTGATTCAGATGAGTGAAATTCATTACCACAAGTGAGTGTTTTAGACTATATAATAAGCTTACAAAGCAAAGAATTTTCTTTTTCTCTCTCTAGGTATAGAAGCTTGAAGCATTTTAACTATGATGTTTGCCAGAGTTGCTTTTTTTCGGGTCGAACAGCAAAAGGTCACAAATTGCATTATCCAATGGTGGAATATTGTATACCTGTAAGTACTGAACCATTGTTTGCTTATTTTTTTTTTAACATACTGCTGTTTCATTCATTAGTGTCTAAAATTATTCAGTTTTAATATTGTCTGAAAAAAAGTCCGTTTCAAAATTGCTTAACCATAATTTTTTCTTGTTTTTTTTAGGCAGATACATCTGTGTTGAAATTTTTAGCACAGAATAATTATACTCTTTTTTCAGAAAAATTAACTTATTAAATTTTATTTACATCTATGTTTTGATTTTGAACTTAACATTCTTAGTAGCTAACTATTTTAAGAGCTCACACTGACCTACATTAAAAATGATACTGTGATGAGTTTTTTTTTTTAGACATACTTAAAATAGTTTACATGACTAAACATTGTATTTACATTAACAAAATTTAGACAACTGGAGAAAGTAAAAACGTCATAAATCTAGCTGTTGAATAAACTACCTTGCAATATTCTTCTATATCTCTGATTTTAAGGCTTTATTTTCATATTTCTGTGATTTTGATACTGCTTTTTCACTGAACATCTTATATAAGTATTCCCACATGTTGTCATGCAGTATAACTTTTCCTAGTTACAGAATGTGGGAGTGAATTATTATAATTTATTTTACCATTCCGTTAGGTTTCAACATTTAGTTTGTTTTCAATTTTCTGATATTATAAGCAACATTCATAAATATCATTGTGAAAATAACTTTCCATATATTACATAAATTACATTTCTATAGAATAAAGCACTTAGAAGTAGATGATCTGTATCAGCGGCCAAAATACTTCATGTCAAGTTATTTTTCAGAAGAGGTTTATACGACTTTACATTGGGCTTCCATGGTGGTTCAGATGGTAAAGAATCTGCCTGCAGTGTGGGAGACCCACATACAATTCCTAGGTTGGGAAGATCTCCTGGAGAAGGGCATGGCAACCCACTCCAGTATTCCTGCCTGGAGAATCCCATGGTAGAGAAGCCTGGTGGGTCCATGGGGTCACAAAGAGTCAGACACAACTGAGCAACTAATATTTTCACCACTTTCCATTCTTATAACACTTCGTTAATGCTTCACTAGTATTGGATACTGATTCCTGTTGTTCCTTTGATCTGAAATATTTTTTTCTGACATTGTCTTCTTTTTCTGTCAATAACTATTTCTCAACTTCTTTCCGAATAGTGAACCAAAATTTATTTGTAGAGCTGTACATTTTCTTTGGCTTAGGGAATTGAGTTACTTTTTGGGTCATAAATTGATGGAAAGGCAGCAATACTCACAAAATACACACATAAATCTCACTCACATTCTTAGGTATCTGATGTCAAATAAATAAGTACCATATATGTGGAGGAAAAAAATCTCTAGAATGTTGCTGAATTATAATAGATGGAATGCAGTGCATAATAACTTTAGGAAAAAAATGCCAAGAGAATCTGTGAAGCACCATTTATTACTATGATTAGCATGCTCATTCACTCAGCAAATAAATATTGAGGACTTGCCATGTGTCAGATGCTATTTTTGGCTCTGATAATTCTTCAGTGTACTACCAAGATAGACAAGATCACTGACTCTCTTACTCCTTTCTTTTCGGGAGGAGGAGATATGTGACAGAGAGCAAGGAAACAAATAAATGAGATCATTACAGATTGCAGTAAGTGCCTCGAAAGGAATGAATGGATAATGAGGTAGAAGATTAGAGGAGGCACTTTAGATAAAGAAATCACAGACGGTCTTTTGGAGAAATTAACATTTTAGTTGAGCTTGAAGGATGAGAAAGAATTGGATGTGTAAAGAACTGGTATCAAAGGGTATTTTGGAAGGAGGAACCAGAGGTGGGGAAGAGGTTGGCATGACTGGAGCATAGAAGAAAATGGAGCGTATTATTGCACAACGGGAGTGTGGTCGGTAGCACTGGCTATTTGAAGTGCCCAGAGCAAAGTAAACACATGGGGCCCCTTGCTAAAAATTTGCTAAGACTTTCAAGATGGTAACAGCGGAGCATTAAGCCACGCTCAAGGAGACTCTGAGTGTGGACACCTTTGTAACTGCACAGGCCACACCACCACAGAGCTGGCCCTAGGGTTGGGAAGGAGGTGAGAACAGCAAGGCTAGGAACAGAAAGAAACTGAGTTTCACGAAGAGTGAATTTCTCCCTTCACAAAAGAGAGAATGAGAAAGGTAAGAGATGAGATTAAAGAGAAATGCAGCTATCAGGCTGTGCAGACCCCTGCTGATCACTACAAGGTCTCTGGATTGGGGAGAAGTATATATTGAAGGACTTACCTGGTGGCTCAGTTGGTAAAGAATCCACGTGCAATGCAGGAGACCCCAGTTTGATTCCTGGGTCAGGAAGATTTGCTGAAGAAGGGATAGTCTGCCCAACCTAGTATTCTTGGGTTTCCTTTGTGGCTCAGATGGTAAAGAATCCACCTGCATGGAGAAGGAAATGGCAACCCACTCCAGTATTCTTGCCTGGAAAAGTCCATGGACAGAGGAGCCTGGTGGGCTGCAGTCCATGGGGTTACATGACTGAGCGTGTGTGCACGAGGGTGGAGGGAGATGGGTTGGTAGCAATAAACTGGTAGAACTAAAAAAAAAAAAAAAGAAGAATCCATCTGCAATGTGGGAGACCTGGGTTCAATCCCTTGGTTGGGAAGATCCCCTGGAGGAGGGCATGGCAACCCACTCCAGTATTCTTGCCTGGGGAATTCCATGTACAGAGTAGTCTGGAGGGCTACAGTCCGTAGGATCGCAAAAGAGTCGGACACGACTGAAGCAACTAAGCGCGGCACAGCACATATATTGAAATTCGCATAATTACAGCTAGAAATTTAGGAAACTGATTATAAAGAACTAATGTCAACATGGGAAAAATCATAAAGTAAATATACATTAAAGATGTATAAAAGTGACTACACATTTTAAGATGTATGAAGTCATTAGACAGCATTTTGAAAAGCAGAGACATTACTTTGCCAACAAAGATCTGTATAGTCAAAGCTGTGGTTTTTCCTGTAGTCATGTATGGATGTGAGAGTTGGACCATAAAGAAGGCTGAGCTTGGAAGAATAGATTCTTTTAAACTGTAGTGTTGCAGAAGACTCTTGAGAGTCCCTTGGATGGCAAGGAAATCAAACCAATCAATTTGAAAGGAAATCAGTCCTGAGTATTCATTGGAAGCACTGATGCTGAAGCTGAAGCTCCAATACTTGGCCACCTGATGCAAAGAGCTGACTCATTGTAAAAGACCCTGATGCTGGGAAAGATTGAAGGCAGGAGAAGAAGGGGATGAGAGAGGATGGGATGGTTTGATGGCATCATCAACTCAGTGGACATGAATTTGATCAAGCTCCAGGAGATGGTGAAGGACAGGGAAGCCTGGGGTGCTGCAGTCCATGGGGTTGCAAAGAGTCAGACTCGACTGAGTGACTGAACAACAGCAGCAAAGTCAGCAGGGCTTCCCCAGTGGCTTGGCGGTAAAGAATCTGCCTGCCAACACAGGAGACCCAGGTTCGATCCCTGGGTCAGGAAGATCCCCTGGAGAAGGAAATGGCAACCCACTCCGTGTTCTTGCCTGGAGAATCCCATCGACAGAGGATCCTGGTGGGCTGCAGTCCATGGAGTCACAAAAGAGTCAGACATGACTTAGAGACTAAACAACAATGAATTCAGTAAAGGTGTTTAAAATTACTATTTTTCTTGGCCTTCATAGTGATTCTTAATAATAATTCATAAAGATTTTGACAAACACCCACAATTTGAAATCTACAGCTCTTCAGCATCAATCTGTGGTCAGTGGGGTGAACCTGAGAATCACGGATACACTGATGAATTTTACTCTCTGGCTATCGTTTTAGGATAAAATCTGTTACCCAAAGCTCGCTAGTCTTTGCAAAATCACTGTTACCATGCCTAAGAGTACAGCTTGCCCTGCATTATATAGGATGGCTTCCTTTTTGAAGATGTGTCCTGGAAGGGTTTTTTGCCCCTTTCTGAAGTTTGCATAGCAATATTAATCAGCAGCCTCCTCATCAATCACCTCTTAGGGCAGGTTATTTTCTGCATTTGACCCCACAACTTTTGATAAAAATGACTAAAAATATATATAAATTGAATCTTTGAAAGATATACTGTTAAATTCAAATAGTAATGAATTACTGGATTTAACTGCTTTCCAAAATTTCTTTCTCTTCCAGTGAGCTTTATTCATTTATGGTATATTCACCTGTTATCCAGTGTTCCATCAACTCATCTGATGTCTGCTTATAAAATGAACTCAAATGTGAATTTTTCAATACAGTAATAGTAAGCACCGCTTAAATGTTAAATGGATTAGACATTGATGTATAAATCCTGATGTTGGCATTTCTTATAGTACATCTCCACTTATGGTCAGGAAAATGCCCTAGTCATATTACTGACTTGATTTCTTTCCCATTCAAGTTTGTTTTTCAGCTGAATCTGAATGTTTCTGTTGGCAAAAGCTTTCCAAAGCTTATAAGCCTTATTTTAAACCCTCAAAGCTCAAAAAATATTTTTTTCAAATGTATCTTGAAAAAACACTGTATTATCTATGACAGTGTTTGTCTTTGGATGTAGAATGACTAATAGTGTATGAATTAACTATCCTAATTTATGAAGATATTTTATGAAATTGATAGTAAAGCATTTATCTACAGAAATGAAATATAATTTTTCTTTTGCTAAGAAATGACTTTTTAAAACTCTTATTTCCTCTCCACCATTCTATAATCCAGATTTGTACATTTAAAGTTCTTTCATGAGGCCCAAAAAGAGTTCATCTAAAATAGACGGCATGACAAAAACTATATTTAATGCTTGTTACCATTATTTCTCCATTCATTTGAAAATCCCACTTTTTCACAAAAACGACATGACTCTAATTTTCTTTGTGAAATCTTCCCAAATTTTTTCACCTTCTGCTCAACAAAACAGGTCATTCTGTGGTTTTCACCACTAGCCCTTGCTTTACTATTTGGTATTTGATTCT